GCCGGCATAAAGCGAGCGGCTACTGGCGGAACCGCTGCCAAGCACGCTGACGCCTGACCCATATCCCGACGCACCGACGGGGGTTCGGGAAAGTTCGCGGAGGTTCCCCACCGCAATGGAGGGATTACATTTGTTTTCACAATTGCTTCGACGCCGGCTGAAAACAATCATTCACTGCGTAAAGCAGCGATCGGCAAGCTACAAGTGAAAAGGGTCAAAGGCCATGCCGGACAGCAAGTCGAAGAAAATATCCAAGAGTCTGAAATGAAAGCAATCTGATTGGACCCGGTTACTGCTTTATCTTTGATGTGTCGATGAGCGACCAACAGACAATGAGTGACGATCTGATTGGACAATTAAAGGTGTTGCTATTTTGTTGGCGATGCTGGGTCTCATTATTTTGTTTTTGGTCTTCTCCTGTTCTGGTAGAATTTTCTTCTGGAAGCATTAAGAGGGAAAAGAATGAAAATAACTACAAAAAATGGACAAATATACAATTTTAAAGATTTTATAAACATAAATAAAATGTAAACAGTTAAACACAAATGAACTATACAAAATAATTCTACAATGAAAAATATATGAAACCAAAAAAAGCTGTAAAATAAATATTCATTATGAACCATAAGATTTTTTTTTAATGTCAGTAAAAATAGTTAAGTATTCCCATAATGAAACATTAAAAATAAAAAATTGAATAAATAAATAATGACTCATTGCTATTTTTATTGGGGGGCAAAATAACTTAAAATGACTTATTCAAATTAAATTAAGCAAAATATAATGTATGCAATTATTACAGATTTTAACATATAAGTATTCCTTACAAATTAAATTAAACCATGACGAGATCAAATAAAACACATTAAAAATGGACAAAACTAAAAATTGTACTATACAAAATAATGACCCATGAACATTTGAATTAAAAAGCTACTGTCAAAATGTCATCAGAAAAAAACGTCCCTTTAGAATACATTAAATACGCAAAATAAAAAAAATAATAATATTGTGACTCATCACCCTTAAGATTATATTTTTCTATACAAAATAATGACCCATGAACATTTGAATTAAAAAGCTCAAAATGTCATCAGAAAAAAAACGTCCCCTTAGAATACATTAATCACGCCTACTTAAAAAATAAAATAATATTGTGACTCATCATCCCTTAATAATATACTTTTAACAAATAATTCGAAGTAAGAACATGATTGATGATTGGTTGCGTCACAAACTTGTAGCTGGAAAGAAATCCTGCACGCCATCTGGCAGCTGGCACGCCCCCTTTAAGTACTTTTAATCGGCTCAATTAATTAACAATGAGGTCGAAACGTCTGCCTTGTGATCACCTTGGAATAATATTACAGCGAATTCCGCTCAAACCTGCGGCGAGGCTCTGATTTCGACCGGAGGCGTGAACGCAAACGTACCCTGGAGATGGTCAGCGGCGTGCTGAAGTCGCGTCCCCCGACCAGGCGGAAGCCCCACGGGGAGGGTCCCTGGAGAGTCACGCTGTAGGGCATGTCGGTGCCGGTGCCGGGGGGCCTGGAGACCGCGACGACGACGCCAAGAATATCCACGCGGGGAAAGGAAGGTAGAAAGTCCTGCTCGGCTCGGCGACGCGCTCCCGCCTGACAAAAACTCTCCCGGAGTCTCGAATCAAGTTTAAATAACAAGAGCCGCCCGTGACGCGTGTGACGAGCGGCCGAGCAGCCCGCCCTCGCCCGGGAGGGCGGTGCCCACTCTGGGGAGGGAGGCTCCGGCCCTCCCAGTTGAGACGTACGCGATTCGTTCAACGAGAGGCCATCCGAGTCCTCCTCATGTGCAATTTTCTTAACCGTTACATTCACTCTGCACCACAATATCCTGCTCCTGCTTCTACGATACTGGAACAAGTTCCCTGCTGCTGCTAGTACTTCGACTACTACTGCTACAATGGTACAGTAGGAACAGTAAGATACCCGATGACTCCTACTACCGGTATTACCATTGGTCCTATGACTGTTGCAACTACGACTGCCACTACTACTATTACTATTACTTCGAATAATACATGTGTTTATCAATAAGCAAAATATCACTCGATAAGTGTGCCTCATGACAAGTATATGCCAGATTGTGCATCGTAACGAATCCATTTCGGCTCCTGTTGGTCTAATTTTTCCATGCGGAAACAAATGATGATGACTTTCACAACTAACGACTCAGTCACTGCAGTCATATTTGTCGCACGGGATACCGAATATGTGCTTGAGTGTCGTTACATTGTCTGTTTACGTGTGTTGCCGCATTGTTTGTGTTCAAATTCATATGTCACTAAAAGCATGATCGCACTGCCCCATACATGCTAGCTGTTAGCCCATTGTTCCTTCGATGATGCGGGCCAGGTACCTAATGAAGTGGCCAGTCCGTATGTCTTATTTTACATTTGTCACTTTTGGATTCTCTCATCGTTTGAGTGGGCTCACGAGTGAGTCACCGAGTCATGATGTCAGACAATCGGCGGCATCTGTTTCAGACAACCCGCCGGACTGCCTCCGGGTCTGAGTCAACCTGAGACGCCCTCCGCCGCGTTGCATCACCATCACGTAATGTGTCGTCGTCGCGATAATTTTGTTTGGAAGCCTGAGATGGGAAGTAGGCTATTAGCTAAAAAGGGCGAAGGTTTCCATGTTTGTGACCTCGCTGGGCAAAATGTACTTTTGTAATGCGGCAATAAAGGGGTGACTGTTTTGACCAAATAAAGTGTGTTTACACACTTCTAGATTGGACTTTATATACCTCATAAACATGGTAAACCCCTTGTGGGGCCGTAACAGATCAATTCTATTTCCATTCATTTCAATGGGAAACATTGCTTTGGTGCGCAAAAAATGTGAGGGATGGCAGTATTCATGCGAGGTCTCGCAGTGTGGCTCCACTCAAGCCCAGACCACCACATGCTCACTTTGTCTTTTTAAAATCAGTTTAAACAAAGCAATTCTTTAACTGGTTTGACAGTGACGCATGACCCCAAACGCGACCACGACTCCCAACTTGGCAGTCTTCAGACTCCACATTGACGGCGTGTAAATTACCAGCCCGCCAAATCCACCCAACGTTTTTTTTTGTTTTTTTTTTTTCGTTTCGCATCACCTCCAGTTTGTAGCTGCTTTCTGTCAAGTTGCGTTGACATGCAAAGCACTTTGGGTTTGCATCTGGCCCGGGCGGCTGGTTGGGGTTGACCAGCGACGCGCTCCTTCCCACATGTGCTGAAGCAATCGCGGCGCGTGGCAGGTTTTCAAGGGAGAAAGAGTGCAGGCCCCCACCGGTCGCCTGAACAAAATCTCCCTGTGGATCACTACAGGTCCAAAAAAAAAAAAAAAAAAGAAATCCAGTTTACAGGGAGAATTACATCAAGTGGGAGGCTAGCGGTGCCAATCAAGATAGCGCCTTCAGTAAAATCAACATACTTTTTAACCCTTCCAAGGTATTCAAACATCCAAAATGGTCAAGGTCGGCATCACTTTTGGTGACAAAACCACTGAGTCAAAAAGTCACTTGGATGTGACGAGAGTTGACCTAAATTGAAGAGAGCTCGGGTCCGCCAGGAACTCTGTGTAATGAAGGCGTGTTTTGACTCCTGGCAGGTTGGGGGGGGTTCCGTCGCGAAACCCAAAACTCAACTGACCCATTTTAGCTTCTGACCGCCGTTCACCCAAAAGAAAACAAAAACGCCCTTCGCTTTTTCACCAACGTCCTAGTCCGTGTTTGTGGCTCGGCAGCACTTTGGACCGGGATGTAAATCCCAGGTTCTAAAAACATTCGGAGTCGTAAACGTTTGTGCCTTCAGCGAGAGATTTGACCGATGACCCGACAGGGGTATGCGGTCCTTAAGAGCGCTAAAACAGAAAACGTCTGGAAGTCATTACGCCGAAGAACGCGCCGTCCCTTGCTCCTTGTAAAGTCGGCGTCCTTGAAGGCCGCGCAAGTGTAACGTTGGCACGGCGAGTGTCGGCTGAAGGTGAATCACTCCGCGAAACAAATGAAGACAAGGTAAACGCTGGTTCGTATCAGCGCAGAAGCGGGATTTGGGCGTTTTGCATTTCTGTGGTTAAACGTCGGAGAGGGTACAGTCGAACTTGCTTACAACGCACCTCAAGGGACATCGCGAATCTTATAACGCTAACCATTTCCAACAAAATGGCCGCCAACCACAATGTGTCATACAGTATGAACATTTACAGCCGTTAAAACATGAAATACGGTGTAAGCATGTCAATTACAAACACATGAAGCAAAAAAAAAAGATTTTAGAAGACATAAACAACGGTAGCGTTCCGACTTCATCGGTGAAAACATTCTGTCAGCAAATGTTACCCGGCAAGTGCCGCCGACGAAGCCAACTGTCACTTCGTCGTCTCGGCCGAGCTTCGTCTGGGAGACTCCCTTTCGTGAACGAGAGACAATTTCAACAACGTACCGAGTCGATCCGTAGCGTTGCTAAGCAACGGAGGGGAATCCGCGCCGTACATTTTGTGGATTAGCAAGGTCGCGGCGGCAGTTAGCTTCCCGCGGTTTGTTGTAAATCCTGAGGAGATCTTTCAGGCAAAATATGGCTGATGTCATTATTTCAAATGGTAACGATATTTGTATTTTGATCTTATCTTACCAACCGTATGAATCCAAATCGGCGTTTCGCTCTGTCTTCTATTAACCTGCAACGGTTAGCGGCTGCTGTTTTTTTTTTTTCTTTTCATTGAGTTTTTATCTTGAACAGGACATCATGGGATGAAAAAGGAGGGTAACAAAATCCAGACACCAGGCGTTTTCCTGGGAGTGCACATGTTTGTTTGAGTAGATGGG